ATATAGTAAGAAAAAGAAAAGTTTGTTTACATTATTACCTTAAAGATAATTTATACCCCATACATTCCATTCTCCCCAGTCATGACAGAGACTATATAACAGCGGGGAAGTTAGGGAACTCTCTGATACTGCCAATTACTTGCTGTATGGCTGCCACAGGCCACTGTACTTTCCCCAACTGTGCGATTAAGGGAGATAAACAAAATCAGTGTTTCCTATTTGCCTGCAAGAATAAGGAATACTATATCACTATATCACACTTTTTTAAAAGTTTTCCTTATTTTTTTTGGGGGGTGGAGTTTCCTTTTTAATTCTCTCTTTTTTTTTTAAAGATTTATTTATTTATTCATACAAACACGGTACAGTCAGAAGCGTGGGAGGGTGAGAGAATTCACCAGAGCCAGAGTGGGGAGCAGAGCAGGCAGAAGGACCGAAGTACACTGCTGAGGGGAGCAGCGGGCGGCAGGAGAGGTCTGCGCGCCATGTGGGACCCTCCTCCGGTGGCCGGGGAGCAGCTGGGGATCAAACCAGTGCTACGGGGCCTCCCCGGTGGCGCAGCGGTAGAGCACTGGGTTGCGAAGCTGCCCGCAGCCTCTGCAGTGCCGGTTCGATCCCCGGCTGCTCCCCGGCCACCGGAGGAGGGTCCCACATGGCGCGCAGACTTCTCCTGCCGCCCGCTGCTCCCCTCAGCAGTGTACTTCGGTCCTTTTGCCTGTTCTGCTCCCCGCTCTGGCTCTGGTGAATTCTCTCACCCTCCCGCGCTTCTGACTGTACCCAGTGCTTGTATAAATAAATACATGTTTAAAAAATAATAAATAAAAAAAATAAAACGGGCCTTCTTTAAAAAAAAAAAAAAAAAAACAGTGCTACGTAGGCTGCGGGCAGCTTCGGAACCCAGCGCTCAACCACTGCGCCACCGGGGAGGCCCTTAATTCTCTTTTAATTTTTCTAATCATGTCCAGGGTCAGGTTCTACTTTGGTGTTAGCTTATCTTTTTAACACCTCTTTCATACCTAGTCTCCTGCAAAAAGAGAAAAATATATTTACATATATACATATACACATATAAATGTATCTGTATATATATACATATATAAAAATATATTTACATCAATTTTCAAAGGTAAATTAATTTAAAGAGGACATAAAGTATATAATCAGGTGTCAAAAATTATGAAGGCAGCACTAGAAGTTCGGGAAACACTGGGCTAGTAGATTTTTATAGCTCCTCTTACTCCTAAAAGGGAATGTTGGTGTCTACGAGTGTCAGGCTGCAGATCTCACCCCAGTCCCTTCCTATGAGGTTCCTCTTAAATTCTAATCTTGTCCCTGGAGCTTCTTCCCATCCAGCAGCCTAACTAAAGGTCACTCCCTCTACTCTGCTCCCAGAGCATGTTCTCCATCCAAGGATTGTCGCATTTAATGCTCAGTATTATAGCCATCTCTTCACATTTATCTCTCTTCTAGAACATGAACTCCTTGAGCCAGGAATTATGTCTTGGCATTTTATCCCCCACACATCTATTATGATAGATGTAGGCATTTAATAAATGGTTGACTGTGTCTGGTACAAAATAGTTTCTTGATAAAACATATACTAAATAAAAGGAATGATGTAATTAATCAGACAAAAGACAGTAGAAGAACATTGCCAGAGATTCATCTTTCGTTATTCCAAGTTAGTATCTCTTAGCATTTAAGCTGGATAGCAGAAAGCTCACCTTTCTGACCTTAGCTTCAAGCACTAAATTAAATGAGAATTCATGAACCTGAGTATTTTTTTTTAAATAAATAATTTTTTAAGGGCCTCCCTGGTGGCGCAGCGGTTGAGCGTTGGGTTGCGAAGTTGCCCATGGCCTCTGTGGCGCCAGTTCGATCCCCGGCTGCTCCCCGGCCACCGGAGGATGGTCCCACATGGCGCGCAGACCTCTCCTGCCGCCCACTGCTCCCCTCAGCAGTGTACTTCAGTCCTTCTGCCTGCTCTGCTCCCTGCTCTGATTCTGGTGAATTCTCTCACCCTCCCGCGCTTCTGACTGTACCCAGTGCATGTATAAACAAAACAAACAAACAAACAAATAAATAAATAAAACATGCCTCTATTTAAAAAAAAAACAAAAAAACAAAAAAATAATAATAATTTTTTAAATTAAAGTAACATCGGTTTACAACACAACACGTTTCAGAAATACAGGGTCCCACCTATTCAGATGGATATATACCAAACCCACCACCTTTTCCCTTTTCTTCTCTACCCTCCCCCTCCTTCTCTTGTAGCCTCAGTTTTACAGTGTGGATCTGCTTTAAAAAGAATCTGTGGGGCCTCCCCGGTGGCACAGCGGTTGAGCGCTGGGTTGCGAAGTTGCCCGCGGCCTCTGCGGCGCCGGTTCGATCCCCGGCTGCTCCCCGGCCACCGGAGGAGGGTCCCACATGGCGCGCAGACCTCTCCTGCCGCCCGCTGCTCCCCTCAGCAGTGTACTTCGGTCCTTCTGCCTGCTCTGCTCCCCGCTCTGGCTCTGGTGAATTCTCTCACCCTCCCGCGCTTCTGACTATACCCAGTGCTTGAATGAATGAATGAATGAATGAATAAATAAATAAATAAATCTTTTTTAAAAAAAAAAAAAAAAAAGAGAGAGCTCACCACATGAACTATCTGGAAAAAACAGACTTTTCTTCAAGAAATTTAATAAGATCAAGAAGAAAACAGTGGGCCTCCCCGGTGGCGCAGCGGTTGAGCGCTGGGTTGCGAAGCTGCCCACGGCCTCTGCGGCGCCGGTTCGATCCCCAGCTGCTCCCCGGCCACCGAGGAGGGTCCCACATGGCGCGCAGACCTCTCCTGCCGCCCGCTGCTCCCCTCAGCAGTGTACTTCGGTCCTTCTGCCTGCTCTGCTTCCTACTCTGGCTCTGGGGAATTCTCTCACCCTCCCGCGCTTCTGACTGTACCCAGTGCATGTATAAACAAACAAACAAACAAATAAATAAAAACATGCCTCTATAAAAAAAAAAATAAAAAAAAAAAAAAAAAAAAAAAAAAGAAACACTGGCTCCAGGGGTGAGGTGGAAGCCCAAACGGAGATCTCACTATTGTCATAAATGACATGTGAATTTCAAAATGCTTTATCATATAGAAATAACAAACATTTGAGAGGCTAATAACACACATGAATAGCAGCACTATTAAACTAGGAAAAACAGTAAGAAAGGCCCTCTTCCAAATTCTGTGGCTGCTCCTTTTGAAACATGGGGTTTTCACAATTATGTTCCTCATGTCATTTTAGGCCTTGGACCCATATTCGATGAGCAGGTAGACTATAAGTCACATAGGATATGGTGTTCTTTTAACTGGACTAAATCTTTTAACAAAACAGAACAGGCTAGCTACATTAAATAATTCTGCAGGTTCCTAACTAAAAATATAAAGTCTAACATAGTCCCTTTACTCCCTACATCTGTTTGCTATTTTCTATCTCCATTATTAATACTGAAATGCAGGGTTTCCATTCAGGCAAGATTAATTCTCTGTTTCCAAAGCCTTATGCTGACATTGCAATAGATTCATTTGGAAGGCTGTAAAGGCAGGCCCAGACATTGTTTCTGCCACATGATCAGTGAGAGAAAAGATGAGGCTTGGCCTCTCAATTTAACAAGACAGAAGAGGAAGTTGAGTTGGGCCTGTGATCAGAGAGGTGATATAGCCCAGTGATTAGGAGCTCAGACTTTAGGACTCAGGCAGCTCAATTCAATCCCAGCTTTTTTTATAATCTAGATGTGTAACTTTAGGCATCTCATCCCTCAAAGGACTCAGTTTACTCCTCTATAAAATGGAGATAACAAAGAATCTGGCAAGATTCTAAAGCATTTGACACAATAATGTGGAAGATTGTAATAATTAAAACAAAGCCCAAAGAAAAAGATTATGGGAGAGTCCCTGGTGGCCTAGGGGTTAAGTCTCAGCACTGCCACCATAACAGCCCACTGTGGGCCCGCCTGAGTTCACTCCCTGGCCAGGGAGCTAACCCACATGGCACAGCAGACCTCTCCTGTTTTGCCTGCTGCTCCCCTCAGTAGTGTACTTCAGCTAAACCGCCTGTTCTGCTCTTCACTCTGTCTCTTGTGAATCCTCTCACCCCCCTCTCCCACCTTTGGCCTACACCCCAGCTCTTGTATGTATAAATAAATAAATCTTTAAAAAAAAAGTATCTGATAATCTGAACACAGATAACTCAGTAAAAAGGAAGTGGGTAACAGGACTAGAGAGACAGGAGACAGATATATTTATGAAAAAGCAAGTAGAGTAAAATATTAATGGTAGACTGCAGGTGGTGGGTATGAATGTTCCCTGCCAAATTCATTCAACTTTGCTTTATTTTTTTTTTTTTTAAAGATTTATTTATTTATTCATACAAGCACTGGGTACAGTCAGAAGCGCTGGAGGGTGAGAGAATTCACCAGAGCCAGAGCAGGGAACAGAACAGGCAGACTGACGATACACTGCTGAGGGGAGCAGCAGACAGCAGGAGAGGTATGCACGCCATGTGGGACCTTCGCCCGGTGGCCAGGGATCGAACCGGCGCTGCAGAGGCTGCGGGCAGCCTTACAACCCAGCGTTCAACCACTGTGCCACCAGGGAGGCCCTCAACTTTGCTTTATGCTTAAAACTTTTCATGATAAGCCATAGGGGGGGAAAAAAAGCATTAGACTTAGAGGCATCAACCCAAGTTCTCAGTCATAGCTATGGAGTTCAAATACCAAAGCAAGCTTGGAAAAACCTAAAGGTTTTAGAATTCTTGCTCATCATCTGACACTTTTCTATATCAGATGGGCAGTACTTGGGCAATGGCCTGGAACATCTCAACACAAGAAGATACAGGCAGAGGGCAGAAAACCAGAGGTTCCACCTGAGCAGTACCAACATCTCAGGACTATGGTATTTATCACCCCTCTCAGAAAAATCTCAGAAATAAGTTACAAGGCTAAGGAAGAGGCAAACAGCACACACTCACTCATGGACTCTGTTGTCACCATAGAGATCACTCAGACCGAAGCTGATGTAGTGCCAGTGCTCGGGGATGTTGGCAGAAGGGCTCCCCAAATTCCTGTACATGCTAACATAGTCCAAGGGGTCTGGACCACCCAACCTGCAAGACAAAACACAGGAATGTCAGTGTAAGTTTGAAAACAGACCATGTCAAACTAAGGGGGACTGCCCTACCAATCTAAAGGCCCCATCCTGGGGCAATCTGACCTAAGACAAAGAAAGGCCATGCCTCTCTGGGATAAGACCACAAGATGGATAGCTACAGCCTGCCCTGTTCCACAAGCACAAGAGACTCCCTTCTCCTATCCCCAGTAGGCAGGGCCTCCTAGAAATAAAGGAGATTGGCTGGTAGTCCATTTTGGTAGGGATTATCTCTCTTCAACAGTGCCTGTAAACATGCCAAGCTTCAAGGCAAGAGGTGCATAGACAATCAACTGGTCTCTGTTGAAAGACCATCCTGAGCATCCCCAATGGGTATTGTTCCTGGAATCAGAGGCTCAACTCACTCCTGCCTCTTAGACAGCTAATTCCTGAAAGACCACATTGTGCCCTATGTTAATTACAGTTTGTTCTAAACAAACCCAATGTCTTCAGACCTCAGTCTGCACTCCATAGACCAAAGCTGGTCTTTTATCAAGCAAGTGACAAAGGCCAAACGTAGGCTAGCTCAGCTCTGCACAGAGAACAGCAGCAAGAGCAAGCTAAGTCCTGTGAGCACCTGCATCTGGAAGATGATCCCAGGACACAGCTGCCTTCAAGGCAAAGCTGGATCATTAAATGATTTGGGGTCTCTGAGGACCACATTACACTTCCCCCATAATTCTAAGAGAAAGGCCATTGAGGAAGAGATTCAATCATTACCTCACTGTAAGGATTTAATTCAGTAAGGGTTCCTTTAATAGAACAATTAGTGCTTTTTTAAAAAAAGATTTATTTATTTTTATACAAGAACCGGGGTACAGGCCAGATGTGCGGGAGGGTTAGAGGATTCACCCGAGACAGAGAGGGGAACAGAACAGGCAGACCAACCAAAATACACTGCTAAGGGGAGCAGCGGGCGAGACAGGAGAAGTCTGCCCCGCCAAGCGGGTATCTCCGCAGCCGGCGGGGATCGAACCGGCACTGCAGAGGCTGCAGACAGCTTCACAGCGCTGCACTCAATCACCTGCGCCACCGGGGTGGCCCATAATTAGTGCTTTAAAAAAAGAAAATTGGGCCTCCCCTGTGGGGCAGCGGTTGAGCGCTGGGTTGCGAAGTGGCCCGCAGCCTCTGTAGCGCTGGTTCGATCCCCAGCCACTGGGCGAGGGTCCCACATGGCACGCAGACCTCTCCTGCCACCCACTGCCCTCAGAAGTGTACTTCGTCAATCTGCCTGTTCTGCTCCCTGCTCTGGCTCTGGTGAATTTCTCTCACCCTCCCGTGCTTCTGACTGTACCCAGTGCTTGTATAAATAAATAAATAAATCTTTAAAAAGAAAAAAATCCTGCTTTTCTTCAGAATGGATAGGGAAATTTGGTAGAATTGAGAAACACCTAAATGGAAGTCATCAGTGGAAGAAAACTTAGTTAGCCCACAAACACTGCATTTGAGCCACCTTGGACATCTGAGATTCGACAGACTGCAAAAACTTTATCTGCCTCTGGGACACTGATGGAATGAACTTTGCAACTGGGATCAGTATGCTGGCCATATAATAACCAAATAAAACACACATTACATGTGATCCCAGCTAGCATGTCAATACAATGCAATTTGAACACTATTTGAAACCAGTAGTTCTAGTTTCATCTTCTCTTGCCAGGATATTATTTGCCTTTGTAGAAATTCTTATTCTCTGCTAGGAAATGCTAAGTTATTTATAGAACTTGTAAGAAAGTCACTACAAATAACTTAGAATCTCAACTAAGTGGATTAGGAAAAGGAATAAATTTCCATGTCTTTCCTTAACTCAGATTTCACCAAATCATTTAACTAATTCCACAACTAGTTGGACTTAGAAAAGTTTGTCAGGGGGGTGGAGGAAAGAAAAGGGTAGCGATGCCTGGAAGGACCCCCCACTAGAGCTGCAGAAACCTGGAACATATGGGAGTGACTATAGGCTGCTGCAAATTCCCAGTTCTGCCCCTTCTTCATCCTAGGTCCATCTGGTTCCATGTGGCAAAACTACATCCACCATTCCTGCCACACCACCACAGTCATCTTTCTGGCCAAGTCTCCTGGGAGGTGTTATATCAAGGAGGGAGGCTTTACCTTAAAATTCCAACTGCAGGGAATGACCAAGAGTCAGAAAAAATTAACCTCATTCCCAACCACAGAGAGAATCTACTACTCAGCCACTGAGCATTACTGCTCAAGAGACCTGATGGGAAGCAGATGAGTATGTAGAAAATAATCACAGTCTGCACTCAGAAAACAATGTTGAGCATCTCTCAACTTAATTCCTTGAACATCTGACTTCACTCTGCAGGGCAGTAGCAGGACTGGTGTGGCCCCAGGGCACAGGCTCTGTCTCTCTGCTTCTGCTCCCAGCTCACTAAAGTCTGTAAGGGATATGAATTAATTAATTTCAAGATCTTAATTAAGCAAACCCCTCCAAATCTTAGAAAGAACCAGCATTTCTAATTTCACAAAGTTCTATAAAATCTTCTATTTTCATCACTACATGCATAACCCTGAAGATAACTTCTGCTTGGTTAACAAGCTTACAGCAGGAAAAAGGCAAACCAAGCTCAGTTCTTTGCCTATGCATCAATACCTGTTACACACAACCCCACTGTTCTTGACCATAAACAGTTGCCTAAGTCTGTGTAGCATTTTTTCTTCACATTCAACAAACAGACCTGAACAAACAGCATGGAAGGACCAGGCCCACTCTCTCATGACATATTCAATAGAGTCCATCACAATACATATTTAAATATAGATGTGCAAGTAGAATGGGTGATGGAGTTATCAAGAGCTGCTTTTCATTCAGGAACTCTCTTCAAAAACTTTGAACCACAGGGGCTCCCGGGTGGCACCGAGGTTAAAGTCTCAGCGCTATCAACCTATCTCAAGCCACTGTGGCATGAATGAGTTTGATCCTGCCAGAGAGAAACCCACATGGCGCAGCAGACCTCTCCTGTCTCGCCCGCTGCTCCCCTCAGCAGTGTATTTCAGTAGATTTGGTGAAGCCTCTCACTCCCCACACCTCTGGTCTACATCCCAGTTCTATATTTATAAATAAAATAAAAATAAATCTTTAGGGCCTCCCCGGTGGCACAGCGGTTGAGCGCTGGGCTGCGAAGCTGCAAGCGGCCTCTGCAGCGCTGGTTCGATCCCCGGCTGCTCTCCAGCCACCGGGGGAGGGTCCCGCATGGCACGCAGACCTCTCCTGACGCCCGCTGCTCTCCTCAGCAGTGTACTTCAGTCCTTCTGCCTGCTCTGCTCCCTGGCTCTGGTGAATTCTCTCACCCTCCCGCGCTTCTGACCTCAGTGCTCTCACTCTCTCATGACATATTCAATAGAGTCCATCACAATACATATTTAAATATAGATGTGCAAGTGGGTGATGGAGTTATCAAGAGCTGATTCAGGAACTCTCTTCAAAAACTTTGAACCACAGGGGCTCCCGGGTGGCACCGAGGTTAAAGTCTCAGCGCTATCAACCTATCTCAAGCCACTGTGGCATGAATGAGTTTGATCCTGCCAGAGAGAAACCCACATGGCGCAGCAGATAATGTAAGTAGATTTGGTGAAGCCTCTCACTCCCCACACCTAAATAAATAAATCAGTTCTATATTTAAAAAAAAAATAAAAAATAGGGCCTCCCGGTGGCGCAGCGGTTGAGCGCTGGCTGCGAAGCTGCAAGCGGCCTCTGCAGCGCTGGTTCGATCCCCGGCTGCTCTCCAGCCACCGGGGGAGGGTCCCGCATGGCGGGCAGACCTCTCCTGACGCCCGCTGCTCTCCTCAGCAGTGTACTTCAGTCCTTCTGCCTGCTCTGCTCCCTGCTCTGGCTCTGGTGAATTCTCTCACCCTCCCGCGCTTCTGACTGTACTCAGTGCTTTTATAAATAATAAATAAATAAATAATAATAAATCTTTAAATAAAATAAAAAATAATAAAAATAAAAATAAATCTTTAAATAAAATAAAATTTTCAAGCATAGCAATTTGCCTACCAGAAAGAACTGTACTCCTCCTGCCTCCCAAACAGTGGCAGGGTGTTCCCATAACACTCCCTAAGGAGCAGGTGGCTCATCCCCAGGTCTTCCATAGGGTCAGCTCCTTATATCCTCCCACTGACACAGGGAGCTGACCTCACCCCACACAGCCCAGCTTCTGCCTTTTCCAGAGGAAGTAAGAGATTGTCATGGAGGAGAAAGATAGAGTCCTAAAGGGAGGTAAACAGCAAAAGATATCCTCTCTATTCACCTCCCTCTATGGGTCTACCTACCCCTTTGGCCTCACCCAGAGCAGCTTCCTGAAACACTCTTCCAGGACTCCTGAAGAGGACCACCTAATACAGTGCCTGCATGAATGTGGTCTGGACAGATTTAACCAATGCCTCAACTTTTGGTCCAGAAAACACCATGAAAAAAGGCTCTTTTCCAGAGTCCCCATGACAGCTGTTTTGCCCATAGGCTACAAGAAGAGACAGGTTACAAACAGGACTGGGAAAGTAGAAAAGACCATCCCAACCCCAAGGGCAGACCATCTATAAATAGGTCTGATCCGTACCAGAGCTACTTAAGTAAGCTACTTGCTCTCAGCTTCCCTGAGAAACTGCTGCCGAGAACCTGAAGTTTGTGAGAGGGCAGCTCTGCACATCTTCTCGCCTTCCAGTGCAATACCAGGTCTTCGCTCATTTACTGCGGCCCCACCATCCCTTCAATCCTGAGCCAGACCATCGATCTCCCTGTCCCTGCTCTGTGCTAATCAATGTCATAAAGCAAAGCAGCTGCAGCGCCAGAGGAAGCTTTGCACGGAGAAAGAAAACTGTGCAGAGTAAGCAGAAAGTTTATCGGGGAGAGCTGCTCCGCCAAACTTCAAACCACAGGCAATGCACCGATGTCTGCGCTCATTGGGAAGGTATCAAAAGGCGATCTCCTCACCTCCTCACAAGCACAAAGCTCCCAACTTGCTCCCTTCCTAACCCCCAGAACCCGGGTACACAGACCCGCCCCTACCCTATGCAGTCTCGTGCCCTCTAAGCTCCTCCAGCCGCGCTGCTCCAAAGCCCTTTCACATGCTCCCCAGGCCCCGCCTCGCCTCCCCACCCCACATCACACCCCCTCCCCGGCTTCCCTCGCCCACTAATGACCCCCTACAGGCGTCCCCTCCTTCCTTTCACCACGTTTACAGTTCCCTCACTGCCAGAGTCCCCCCTCGTGCTCCAACACCCCCTCCAATTCACTCTTCTCCCAATCCCAGTTAACCCTTCATCCTCTCCTCCCTCGCCAGCCCTTCGCTACCCACAGGCTCCGTTAACCCCTTTGTCCCCGTTCCTAACTGGAGCCCTAAGTCCTGGCCTCGCAGCAGGAAGCCCCTTCCCAGTGCCTTAGCCGTTCCCCAGCTCTTCCTCCCCCACAAATGACTTCGCTCCCGGCGCTTTCACCCTCCCCGCCCGCCCCTGTCCGGCTCCCCGCGGCCCAGGGCGTACCAGTACTTGACGATAGCGGTAACCTGGAGCGGGTTCGGCTGGTCGGGGTACAGGCGCCGGCACTCCCCGTAGATGGCGTGCAGTCCCGGGGGGAAGAGAGAGGCGAAGGCCGGAGGGGCAGCAGGGCCGGGGGCCGGGGGCGCGGCGGGGCCAGGGGCGCAACTAGGCCGCAGCTCCGCCATCGGGGCGCGTAGGGCACGGGGGGGACCGGGGAGGGCGGGCGAGGGGGTAAGCACTGACGCGCCAGCGGCTGACTCTGTGGGTGCGACTCCGGGACACGGCGGGGCTGCAGCGAGGTCTCGGCTCCGCGCCTGCGCACGGCGCGCAGTCCGCCCAGGCCGTCGCCGCCGCAGAGACGGCCAGAGGGTGCCTCGGAGGCCGCGGGGCGCTCAGTGGGGCGGGGCGTCGGCGCGCCCTCTCCCAGCGTTGATTGGATAATGGGTATGGCAGTCATAGGTAGCAGAGGCGTGACTTGATCGTAGGTCCCGCCTCCCCTTCGAGCTTAGGAGGCTCTTGGTCTCCCCCTAGTGTTAGGAGGAACACAGATTTAAATAGAGATGTTGCCGCCTGAGGTGCTAGGGTCCCGCGAAAGCCCTGGGAAAAGCGCGAACAAAGGGCTTATCATAGTTCTGCTGACAGTGTACTTAAACACAATCTGACAGTGGATCGATTCATTTGTGCTGGTGGCATTAATTTTAATCGATTATAAATCTTAATGTTTCTTATCGTCATTGAATGATAGAATTGTATTGACTGATAATGTTAACACCGCTAAATTCAGGGCTTCCTATGTTTAAATACCTATTTTGGAGTTGTCAGAAAGTAACAAGATCTAGGTAAAACAACTCAATTTAAAAGACTTGGTAATTCGAGGCCTCCCTGGTGGCGCAAGGGATTAAGTTCCACTATGAAGCAATCCGCAGCTTCTGCAGCACGAGTTCAATCCCTTGCCAGGGAGGAGATCCACAGGGCATAGCAGACCTCTCTTGTCTCGCTCACTGCTCCCCTCAGCAGTGTATTTCATCAGTCTGCCTGTTCTGTTCCCCTCTCTGTCTGGTGAATCCTCTCACCTCCCGCATCTCTGGCCTGTGCCCCAGCTCTTGTATGCATAAATAAATCAATCTTTAAAAAATAAAATAAAATAAAGACTTGATAATTAGACTTGAGGATTATTTAATAAATGTTTGAGCCTCCCTGATGGCGCAAGGGGTTAAGTCGCAACACTATGAAGCAATCCGCAGCCTCTGCAGCACGAGTTTGATCCCTTGCCAGGGAGGAGACCCACAGGGCATAGCAGACCTCTCTTGTCTCGCCCACTGCTCTCCTCAGCGGTGTATTTCAGTCAGTCTTCCTGCTCTGTTCCCCAATCTGTCTCTGGTGAAATCCCCCAACCCCAGCACCTCTGGCCTGTACCCCAGTTCTTGTATGCATAAATAAATAAATCTTTTTAAAAATGATTTTAGTAATGACAACCTCTTTTTGTTCTGTAGGCAGATTGCTTTAAGGAACACTAATATTCATTACCTATGGTGGACCTGCCCTTTCCCATTACTTTGGCTCTCTGTAACTACAGGAATTTTATTTTATTTTATTTTTTAAAGATTTCTTTCTTTCTCTCTTTCACTCTTTCTCTCTTTCTTCAAGCACTGGGTACAGTCAGAAGCGCGGGAGGGTGAGAGAACTCACCAGAGCCAGAGCGGGGAGCAGAGCAGGCAGAAGGACCGAAGTACACTGCTGAGGGGAGCAGCGGGCGGCAGGAGAGGTCTGCGCGCCATGCGGGACCCTCCTCCGGCTGCGGGCAGCTTCCCAACCCAGCTCAACCGCTGCGCCACCGGGGAGGCCCCTAGAGGAATTTTAAAGTGCTGAGGTACTGGGCTGGATATTACTTTCCTGTTTACAACTTTTCATATAGCAATGACTTCCACTCAATGATCTTGAAGAAATTCCAAGGGAAGGGCAGAGAAAGGAGTCCTGAGCACCAATGCTACTGCCTAAAGCTTCCTGCCAACTTAAAGGGAGTGAAGAAAGTTAAATTTAGAGAAAAAATGCCCTGAAAGCGTGACACATATCTTTCACCTCCTTTTTCACATCCATCAATGTCAATTCCAGGTCCCCATGAAAATTAGGCACTAGAGCATTTCCTGGACCTATTAAAGGATGTCTCAGTGTTCAACAGATCACGTCTACCAGTAGTTCCAAATGCCAGTCTTCAGACCAATGCTAGACTGCAGCAAAATTTACACTTATTCAGGAAAAACGCCTAAAGAAAAATGCTGGCTTTAGAGCAAATTTTAAACAGTTTAAATGATTTTTCCTTTGTTCTGGTGATGTCCTTCCCCATCGTGTGCGGGTGGGGGATGGGAGAGGAGGAAGGCAAGCGCGCGCGCGTGTGTGTGTGTGTGTGCGTGTGTGTATTAAAATTGTCCTTTATTAGAGTGTGGTGTTAATAGGGGATACTTGTTAATATCTTATAGACCCAAATAAAAACGTGGCAACCTTAAATTTTCCACGGGGAGTGATGGGGAGTGGTAGGATTGACCTGTAAAATCCAAACATCCACGAATTGGTGACCAAATCAAACCGAACTACACACAAGTGCCCAAGGAGACTACACATTTCAGTCCCCTGAGAGGGACTGCAGAGCAAGGCAAGCAATACAACCATCAACCTGAGTCTCCTGCTATTTATCTGGGAAAACTACAGATCCCAAGATGCTGTGCGTAGGAAACGCGACGCCCAGCGGACCTCCGAAGCCGCCTGGGCTGCAGGCTCAGCTGCAATGCATGCTGGAGGTTGTGGTTCTTCCGAGGCGAGGTCGGGCCGCTCCCTGACCGCCCTCTCCCGGCGGCTAGACTGCGCATGCGTGTCAGTGGCGTTAGCAGCGGACGGGGCTGGCAGTTCCTTCCTCGGAAGGAGAGATTCCTTTGCCATGGAGTCCTACGATGTAATCGCCAACCAGCCTGTAGTGATCGACAACGTGAGTTGAGTCTTTACTATTTCTAAAGGGACTTATGCTCTTCTCCCCGAAGGGATCGCCTCCCGAGTTTCAACCTGGGCCGCCGGCTCTTTGTCACTGGCCCGGCCTGTCAGGCGGGTTCAGCCGTCGCTACCTCCGTCCTCCCCCACGCCCATAGTCCGAAGGAAGGGAGGCGGGCCTGCAGTCACGGGATGGAGAACTTTGGGTGGATAAAGGGAAGAGCTGTGGTCCGAGCCGGGTCTTAGGCCCTTAGCTCGAGGGGCCTTAACCGCTCTGTGAGCGCCCAGCGCCCGCCCGCTCCCCAGTTTCGGGTAACTCTACTGGCTGCTGCGGCTGTCCATCTTGACCGGTGACCCCGCCTCTGGGCCTTGCCGGATGAGGGCAACCCTCTGCCGTGATTGGCTGTCGCCTCTGCCATTCTTCTGGGACGCCATACTGTTTCCCTTCTCTAAGGGGCGGGGCGGGGCCCGAGGACTGCAGGGATTGGTTTCGGGACCTCTCAGGGGCGGGGCTTGACAGTGGAGGGCCCGCCCGCGGGTGAAAGGCTAAATTTCCTAGAGTCGGTCCGGGGCCCAGCGACAAGGCGTTGTATTTGGGTGGAGCCCGAGAATCTGGTGCCAGAAATGGCCGCAGGATTTCAGTTATATCTGTGACTATAAACTGTAACCTTAATAAAGGTCGAAAAGGAGAGGAACAAAGCAAGCAGGCAGGTACCTTCCTCTTCGGAACGCCTAGCTGCTGGGGAATAAAATTGCTAAACATACATATTCGAGTCGGAACCTTACAAAAACTAGGTAGATAGTTAAGGCAGGAAGTTTGATCCTGATTTTACAAATGAGAAAACAAGCGCGAAGAGATGAAGTGAGTCCAAGGTCGCACGGTGAAGACGCCCTAAATCCAGTGTTTTGTCCGCTATTCCTTTTGCTAGTACCCCACGCAAAATGCACCAATAGTGACAACTGCAAAGAATCTAATTACTCCTCTTATTTTGATCGGCGAGGGCGGTTGTAAAATAGCTGCATTGCACTCAAAGGTTGGGTCCCACAGGGATTGGTTGATACCTT